AATTACTACCATGAGAGCAGTATCCCCACCACAGCCCTGCCTCCCGTTTTCAGCCCCAGGTCAGTTGGTGGCATAGGCATTAGCAGGAGATGCACCCGCAGGCTGTAGCTCCAGCACATGCTCTTCTGACAAGACAAGGGAGATGCTGCACACCCTGCACCCCCATGCCTCCACGTCACAGCTGTAGCCAGCCTAGGGCACTGCCATCTCCTGTGTGGATGGTGCGGCCTCAAAGAGGCAGATCTTCCACCCAGCTTTTGCGGAGAAGAGTAACCGTCCCTTCAAACCCATATTCTGCCTTGAAACGTGCAGAACAAGGCCCGAGAACCTTCCCTTGTTAACTGGGCAGGTCTGGGAATGCAAAGGGACACGGGCACGCACAGGCGAGGCCACATCATGACTTTTGAGCAGCTCCAAGGCATTTCTCATGCAGGGCTGTATCACACGAGCAGGCTGAGCAGGCATCAGAGCTGCTGGGCAATCCCAGTTCCCAGCAGGGAGAGAGCTGCTGGCATCCACATCACCACGTCATCCCAGACCTGCCTGCACATGCCGTTTTGCCTCTCGGGGAGCACCGAGGAGCTGCTGCGGCTCCCTCTCCGTGCCCTGTGCCATCTCTGTTCTGGCAGCATCATCCCTTCCCCCAGCACGCCGGGACGGGACGCAGCACTGCTGCCATTCCCAGTGCAGGCAGCCACTTTCCAGCTGACGCGGTCCATCAGAGCAGCCCAAGGGACACGCGTGGTAGAGGTAAAGCTGGTACGTTACATCTCGAGTCTGGCAGCAGCACAGGCAGGCCTGCCTGGCTGAGCGGGGCGGCTGGTCTCGGTGCAAGCCGGGCGGTAGCCAGCTCGCTGGAGAACGGCGCCCAGGCTGGCACCACGCTGCTCCGGAGCTGCCAAGTGGAAAGGCAGGCAGGAAGGAAGGAAACAGGGACCAGGCAGCGAAGCACTGAAACTAGCAGAAAGATGGGACTATAAAGTCACAGCAGAGACTAAGTAGCACAGGCACATCCCCTCCCCGGGCTCCCAAACCCCGGTAGAAGCCTGTTGCAACGGCCAGCAGCTTGCTGTAATGAGTTGCTAATTAGCAATTGGGGTCTGCTGCTGGGGGACGTGGGGCACAGCCCTCTGTCCACAGCAAGGGACTGGCAATGCACAGGTATGTCCCCGGTGCAGACACGTAACCAGCAAGCCAAACACCTGTATCTCTGCTCCACGCTCTGCCCAAAGAGGGAGGAGAAGGCTAGAAGGAGGCACAGGCTGGAGGCGCAGCAGAGAGCCGGGCACCACGCTACCAGCCCTCCTGCCCTGACTGCTCGTCCAGAACGGCCTGGCCTTGGGCATGTCACTGCGTTTCTGCGTGGCCCTCATTCATCTGCAAACCCAGAGTGATCGGGCCCTCCACATCCTGCTTGGTGCTTATGCTGCACTTCGACAGCACTGGGGAGAAAAACGGGCCAAGGGCACGTCCTGCCCAGTGGCACAAACTTGGCTGTACCAGAGCCTCGGTGTGCTCGCATCTCCCAGCCCAGCCTCGCTTACCCATCAGCCAGATCACATTGGAGAGAGCCCATGTTTTGCAAAGCCGTAACTACTGATCTTCCTCTGACAGCAAAACGGGGAGCCAGCGTGGGATTTCTGGGGGAGGGAGGGAGCAAAGCGAGATGTGCACAGTCTCATTTGCTAGTTGTTTTTCCTGCTGTGAAAGAAGCAGCTTTGAGCCTGGAGAGACAAGGCAGCACTCTCCTGGGTACAGCAGGAGCCGGAGAGCCAGAGGCACCAGCAGCTGGCAAATCCGAGGCCGGGAGCAACAGGGAAACACACACCGAGGCATCCCAGAAACACCTCTTCTCTTCTGCAGCCCTAGCCAAACAACCACAGCACTGTTTCTGCTTGGCTAGGGAGCACGTTCATTACGAGAGTTAAACATTAATTGCAGATGATGTTATGTCCTTAAAAAGCACTAAAAAGATCACCTCACTTTTCCCCAATGAGCAAAAGTTCCTTTCTCCAGCCATAAGATAATACAATTGCACACTCCCCCCCCCGAAACACCAGCAGCCCACAGCCCAGGGTGGCACCCAGCCCTGCTGCCCCCTTCCCTGGCTCTGGTATTTGGGGGGATCAAGAAATTCCTGGCTTCCAGGCCAGATCCCCAAGATGTAATTGAAGGACACTGCTCAGCACCCAGGGAGGCACCAAACAACCAGCTCAGGCATTTCTCTGGAAACAAAGCTCTTTGAAAGCATCCTTACATTAGGTACCCCATGAATTTCAGAGCGGGTCTGAGCCCTGCGTCTTGATGATGCAGAAACAATGCAGCCCTCCACAGGGCTTAAAAAGCAACCCTGATGTTATGCCATGGTCCGGTTTCTGACATCACTTCCCATCACTAACCGGTCCCCATGTCCCTGGCTGAGCGGATGCACAGCACAGCTCTGCACCAGCTCTGGCTGTGCCCAGGGCAGGCTCTGCTTCAGCAGCGTATGAAACCAGTCTTGTAACGTCATGGGCTCTGATTCAGAACCACCCAGAGCATGTCCTGGCTCCATCACAAGGCTCGAGGGAAGGTCTGCAGCTCCCCCTGAAAGGTTTAGGCTGCTCTCCTCTATAGGATTAGGATGGTTAATGCTACCCTGTAGTCACAACCAGCAAAGCTTCCCCTCTCCTTCCCACACAGCGCATATAAAACCCCCATCTCAGTGTTCCTGTTGCAGCAGGCACTCTTCACCTTCAGCTATGTTTTTCCTCACTCCAGGGAGCATTTTTTAAGTCCTTCACATCAAGAAGAAGAATGATAATCAGGCTGATTCAGACTTGCAAAACTGATAATTCAAAACCCAAAGCCCTAAGGGGACAAGGCGAGGACATGGAGGCAGCAGGCGGCATGGATTACCCCACATCTGCCTGCAGGTACCCTTGGCCCCAGCAGGACGCACCGGCCAGGCTTGGGGAGCGTTGCCTTCCCCGAGGAGCTCATGCTCAACTCACCGTGCTCTCTGCTCTCTCAGCAACAAAAGGCTTTGCTTTCCTTTGCGGCGAGAAGTGTCCTGCGTGCACCAGCCGCGTGCTTGAACAGAAACCTTCAGAAGATGGGAGTCTGAAGGGCAGGGAGAGAACAGGGTCATCCACTCTCAGCTGACGTGACGTGCACAGGTCCCCGGAGGTAAAGATGAAAGAAGGGTAAAAGGGTCCCATCTCGTCAGCCCCCCAGGTCCCAGTGGGGATCACTCCTTTGAGCGGAGCCTGCTCAGGGCTCCAACACAGCAACAGACCTACCAGCCCCCTCCTCTCCTCTGCTAACACCAGTGGGATTAGCTCAGGGCTGAGCTGAACGCTGGGAACAAAAGCAAAAAATACAGGAGGACACAAAAAGGCAGTTTCTGAATTAAAAAAAAAAACAACCAACAACCAAAACACCAAAGAGGTGCACAGGCACTCAGTTAACTCTGGTGCTTCTGTCGCAAACGTGTGTAGCACAGCAGCACAGAGGGAGTGCGACTTTAACTTCACAATGCAAGCTTAAAATCCAACAAAATGGGAAAGGAAAAGGGGAAGGCAAGGGAAGCAAAGGGAGAGCAGCGGGGGATGCAGGTGTGCAGAGCTCAGCCCTGGAGTTTGCAGTGCCAGGTGCTCACGGGTGGATTTACCGAAAAGCCCACCTCCCACTTGGGTTTCTGAGTCTGGGCAGGGTTAAGTCCTCTCAAGCGCTCCCACCCCAACCCCGCTGGCTGGATTTGCAGTCTCACAACATGTCAGGCACCTCTGAAAATCTAGTCCAGGTAATACCGGGAAACCAGAGTCTTCAAGTGTGTCTTCAGGCTTCTTCACGCAAAGGTGTGCAGGGGGCATCAGCTGCTGCCAGGGCTCTCTTTGCTGGAGGAACCGCCACCAGCACCACGGCAGCGCTAGGGTTTGAGCCGGGGCACGCGCTCCACCTAAACCCCAACCCCGCTCAGGCAAGTAGCCTCTAAAAAGCTGTATTCTTCTGAAGCAGAGCTTGTAATTACCACCCAGCAAACCCCAAGCATGAGTTACCAGAGAGCAGCAGCCCGTCGTGAACTTGAGCGTGAGCTTAAACAACGTGCCTTGCAGCTCCGCGGGGAGCTGCTCTTCCCACAGCTCCGGCTTTGCACCTCCCGACAAGCCAGGGAAGGGACCACGCAGCAAACCCCCACCTCCGGTGCGGAGCACCGCAGGGAACGGTTGCACTTCTGCATCACTCGGGCAAACTCGCAATGGCAAACTTTCTTCTTCCTTGAAATTTCTCACGAGAGAGAATTCTGGAGCTAGTTCTGGCAGTCCGGGCTCGCGCCGAGTTACGGAAGGGACGGATGCCATCATTATGCTCTGTCCTCCCAGTGCTCCAGGACTCCAGCTGGGCCGAGAGAGCAGAGACTACGACCCAGCATTCAGCAGCTTCTCTGGTGAGAGGAACCACGCCACTGTTTAGGTCCCACCACCCACTTCTGCCGCAGAATCCAGTAACAACACTGCTTTCCCCCATGAGTCCATCACTCAGAGCAGACAGCTCATACCAATACCTATTTTAATCGAAAGCAAGCAACAAAGTCTACGTTCCTCAGGCATTAGAAATTAAACACAGCTTGCAGCCAGATCTTGGCTTGGCCAGCTCGCAGACAGGCAACGCTTTGGGATCCTCTATCACGCAGCTATCCATCTCCTAAGCAGGAAAGACGACCTGTCCAGTGCTCCTCCCTGCCTGGCACCACGGCCGGCATAATTTGATTTGTAAACCCGCAGCATGGCCCAGAAGTAGAAATCCTTAGCAGGACAGCTCAATCTGTCCGTCCCTGAAGAGGAGATAGTACAGGAGCTCTCAGAGTCTGAACAGTTAATATTCTCATCCCAACCCACACATTTGTAAACCGCACCGCTCCGAGTAACCCCCCACAACGCTCGCAAGCTACAACTATCCGAAACATGCCCTCCTGCCTGGCAGGGCTGCTGCTCCTCCGTGGGGCCTGCGGACACTTTGCGAAAGCCCATTGCTCCAAGAGGCAAACACGTCCTGGTTGGTAACCACAGCGAGCAACAAACACGCTCTTTCCCCAACACGCTGCCGCAGAATTAAAAGTTTGGGAGTCTCTGAGCACGAACCCCCAAACAAATCTGCGTAACCCGCCGGCCGAGCGCTGGAGCTTTGGGTAGGAAGCTGACAGCAGGAAACAATTCTGCATTTTCCTTCACTGCTCCTTCAAACATACGTGAAGCAGACCGGGGGCTGGCAAAGGCGCTGCCTGCTGACCCAGCAGCCTCGGATCTGTGTCAGACCCAGGGCAAGGTTCCCACGTGCCGTCCCCGTCCCCGTGCACCCCACCTTACACCTCCTCTCCCAGCACAGCCCGACACAGAGCTGCTCCACAAAGCCTTTGGGCTCTGTCCGGACAGGGGGACAGGACAGCTCGACATACCAGGATGGCGATTTAACAGGTGCTCTAATGCCATCTTCATCAGCCAGCACCCTCCACAATTCACAAGAGTTTAACAAAACATTTTTAAATGGGCATTTTAAGCAGCAAAGGATTCATGCAAAATTCTCTCACATACATGTTAAACATATGACGTGTATATCAAGAGACACACGTGGAGCCAACACGTTACATCACTGCCTGAAGAATTGGTGACAGTGTCAATAATCAGCTGGTTCCCAGCAGAGTGCAGCTGTCATAAAGCCTCAAATCAAACGCCTGTTTGGCAATCTTTAGGGTTGAGCCACCGTGTTTTATTTTAAACACATCCTGGACAGAAGGCTCAGTGCAAATTCCCCTTTGGCCGAGCCCAGGTTTCTCGCTGGCCCCACAAGGTACGCCGCTGTCCCCAGCCACCCCGCGCACCCGAGGCACTGCCGCTGCCCTCGTCCCCCGCAGCAGCAAGACCACGAGGACCGCTGGCATCTCGCCTCGTGTTCACCCAAACTCCTGGGGAGCGCAACAATGACCCAATTTCTGACACCGAGGTTAATAAAACAGGCTTTCAATAATATTTTTGTGCTAAACAATCAGGTTAAGGAAAATACCCTCCAGGAAGTTCGGGCTGTAACTTCACGCGAAGGCTATCGCTGTCCTGAGCTCCGGAGGAACCGGCAGCTTCTCTCAAGGGTACGAAACCGTGCAGAAGGGGAGAGCGGCAGCCCACGGAGCAGCTCCTGCCCTGCACCTCCCGCGAAGCCCCCTCCCTCCGAGCCACGCATGGAACGCTCCACTCGGGCAGGCTTTTCCCACGCAGACCGCAGCATCCCAGCTCAGCCATGCAAACCCACGGGAGAACGTGGGAGGCAGGCGAAGCCTGGGGGGGGCTGGCTGGCTCTGCCCACACGCCCGACCCGGGAGGAAAGTAGGGGGGGTGCTGCGGAGAGCTAAGCCCACCCGCAGGAGGTGCGATGAGTTTGCCAGGCGCCTTACGTCCTCTTGAAGACCCCTCCGAGGCAGCTGCCGAGCA